TTTTTTTTTTTTTTTTTTTTTTTCGAGCCGGTTGACGTTACTCGCTTGTAACCTGGCCCCGTACCTTGGGCAGATCGCCCCTGTTGCTGTCTTCACTGCTCGTGAAGGTGCTAGAAGTGTCTATCCCGGAGTCTTTGGTCGCGCTGTCTTGGCTACCCTGCCGATCGGCCTCCCAAGACCATTCCTCCTCCTGAGGGCCGCCGACATTGGTCCCACCGTCAAAACGCACTGTCTTTTTCCCCCTTCTCTCCGTGAACCTGATGGACACGCCACATACACACAGAGACACGACAACGATAAGAGATTGGTGCCCGTGTGTGTGTGTGTGTTCGTCTTGTCGTATCGCGCCGCCGCGATTTCGATTTCGCGATTTGATCCGACCGAGTGATCGAGCTCGAAGTGTGATCTGCCACGATCGACAGATAACATATATAACCGGTATATACATATGATATCGACTTATGCTTTGCCTCCAAGTGATTTCTCATCGTTCAATGTTTTCCAAGCTGTTGGTCAGGAACTTTTGTTTTCTACATTTTCGTTTTTTTTTTTTAATAAAAAATGTATTCAATTGAAGCAATATTGTAAACTCGGAAAAACAAACTTGGTCAGACATCGTCGATTCCCGTATCATAAAAGCGTAAATATGTTTTAAATTTTCTAATATAATTTGAAAGATAGAGTTACACTACGATAACGATGAATTAGAATATTCAGCGTGTTCCCTACTAAAATTTTAATCGCATAATATTATAAATATTTCACTGAGATATATTTTTCAATTTATTACTTTTAATTACTGTACTCATGCAATATAAATTCATACGTTTTAAAAAATACGATATAAGGCAAAATAAACAAATATGTTATCATCGTTCCTCGACCAACGACGAAACTTTCTTTACGTTATCACTTCTGTTTCTTGTTTAAATCGAATACGTGTCCCGATTAGAATATCTGTCTTTTCGATATCTTCAATTAACGCGATTTTGTAAAGTATATAATAATGAAAATCCCCAATCGTAAAAGTTCATTGATCTATGAAAAACTTTTCAAGTAAAGCGCGCGGGATTACACATCATAGTTTCAATAATAGATACTATATTTATGTTTAATTTCTCAACGTTTTTATGTAGAATTTGTTTAATTATAAAATGCAATTAAAAAGCCATTATTTAATAATTTTTTAGTTATAATAAAATAAGAAATGTAAAAGATAGTGTTACAGTAAATTTTAAAAAGTGCCATTTCGTAACGTCAAACTTGTGCGATGGGGACACTCGGCGACGAGACTCCATCAAACATTTTCTGTTTTCGTTTGTAATACGATGTCGCGCTTTACCGCGTAAGAGCGAGAGCACAGTTTTGCATAACGCATATAACATATAAGAAAATAAATCAACCAAAGTCCTTTATTTCTTTCCTCTCATAGTCCGTTCTTATTTCAAAACTGTCTTAAGTAATGTCTCTTAAGATGTAATAATACAGCCACCTGATCGGTTCATGATGTTTTGAGATTATACTTAAGATAGTCTTAAGATTATAAATATCGATCTGTGACCTCATCTGTGACTTGATTTTCTTATACTTTACGTTTGATGCGTTACGCAGAAGTCTGTGGCTTCAGCCTTAGAGACTTTCTACGATAAGTCATTACCTAAGTCTTAAGCTATAAGAAACTGACCAATCCGGTTATTCTATTCACGCTCGACTGTGATTGGTTAATTTCCTACGATTTAAGACTTGAAACTTAGGTAACAATTCATTGCAGAAAGTCCATTAAGTTCGGCAAAAAGAGTGAAAAAAGCGGCGCACACGATCGTCTCAGCCTCCTTGAAACGCACCTCCTACTGTCGGCACGCCACTCGTCGCCGCACCTTCGGAAGCTCCGTCTGACGAGAGTGCTCTCTTCTTTTCGCGGCTCTCGCGGTGGATGGTGGCCGTTATGCTCCACGGCCGTCATGCCCGCGCCCGACCCGTGGTGCCCATTGTGGGATCCGTTGTGCCTACGCCCACCACTGGACATCGATTTCGGACCTCCCGCGTGATGGTAGCACCCCTTCCCTACAGTAGATCCAAAACGTTTCGTGTTTTTCTTTCTCCTTCGCATCCTTTCCTCTTGTCTATGAAAAAGCGCGTGCGCAGATATTTTCTTTCTTTTTTTTTTTTTTTTAATGTATCGTAAACCTTTAATTTCAACTACGCTTCTCTCTCCCGCACCTCCGTAGAGAAAAGAGAACGTATCCTCTCGCGGTTTTTCTTCGAGACCTTCTCTTTGCGCACGCGTCCTTGATCATTCTCTTTCACGGAAGAAAATGGAGGGTCTCCTTTTTCGGCAATCGAGTCGATCTACGTACCGAAAACGAAACCATTGAATCCTGTCATTATCTCGAATCGAGTACACCTTCCTGCGACGCCCTGTCCTGCCCGGTGTTTCTCCCTCTTTGACTTCGCGTGTCAGCTTCGTGTGTGCGTTTTGTGTGTAGCGATATTCCTAACGGAAACGAGATAAGGCAGCGGTGCAAGCTTGCCCGCGATAAATGTGCGATAGACGACGTCTGAGAAGCGTTAAGTAGAACCGGTACGTTTTGAATTTGCCTACGACTGGCACACGATTGGCGAGAGACGCTAAAAAGGTATGACTATATGCGTAAATTTGTGCAGGGATCGTGTGGTTGTGTGTGTACGTGTGCGCGTACGTGCATAACGATAATTACAATTTTTTTTTTTTCTTGGCAAAATGTCCATCTAAAGTTCTGCATTGAAACGCTTTCTATATTTCTTAGGACAAAACGGGATTTTAATGGTAGAAGTAACAGACTTTCATCCGTTGCATAAAACACTGGGCGAGACACAAAAGAATAACATGAAAAATTATCGTATGGACGGAAAAGATACAAATTTGGCCTCCGTAAGATCGCATTCATATAAATCAAATTACACCAGTAATACTGGAAAACAATACCCAAACTGTATAATTATCTCGATTTTCTCTTATAAAAGTTTAAAGGAAATCTAGACGCTTACCGTACGGATGCCAAAGACAGAAATATATGGAAAACTCAATTAAAACACGAAAGTAAGATACATGAAACACAGACCCAATCCCAATCTGAAAAATATAATTTTGTAGCTGCAGCGTCATCATCCCAATTAATGAAAAGTACCTACTACGGGTCTATGCGTATATCCAGATAATGTGTATTTTGCGAGCGAACAGAAGATCTTGAGATGCGGAGATAATTGTGGGAGTTGTATGTGTGTACGCGTATATTCTTGAGTGAAGTATAGATAAAAATATACCTGTGCACGATTCATAGCCGTCCAAAGTAGAACAAATAAAGTCTATGACAATTCTCTGCCGATCGGTCGCATCGCGTGACGTGCGAGTCACACAGGACGGGGATCTTTTCGTAGAAGAAAAACTTACTATTTCTTTATGTATATCTGTGTGTCCTCGCATTATCTTCATCTGGTAACTCTGACATAAATGTGTCCCTGAGGGCGTGGGAAGATAATTTTCTTTGCAAAGTGCAAGACAATTCAAAAGAAATCTAAACACAATTAAGTATGGACGGTATGTTCCCAATGAAGTTTAATCTTGAAGTTGGATTAGCGAGCGACGGTTGGATTTTAAAAAAAAGTAATCAAATCCCGCGCGAGAGGAACGTAAAGGAATAGGCAAAAAAGATTAACATAATGTATGCGTAGTCAAGCCGCGAGAATTATTAATAAACTAAAAAGAAGAAACAGCTTATCAATCCCTATATTTGATACGCACGACCGTTCGGCAGATACGTACACACACATGCACACGCATACGCACAGATATACATATTATATATATGTATATGTAAGTATACATACAATTAGATATATGTGTAGCGATTAATATATAGCGAAAGATGATTTGCTTTGTATTTTTACGTAATAAAATTATTAAGTACCGCGGGGAATTGCCGATTCATTCTGTCAGCCGCCTTCTCCCGCGTACCCCTGGAAGTCATCCCTAGTGGCGGCGGCTTTTGCCCTAAAAGTCGATCTCCCTTTAACTACTACACATTGCAATATTACTGTTTGACTTACTGCTAATCATCGAATAATCATCGAAATAAGCTTGTCCGCTGCGGTTCATCTACATCAGAAATAAACTAGTTTTACGTGTGTACGTATATATATTTTTTATATATTATATATCTTTTTTTATATAATAAAATATATAAATATAAATATATATATATTTTGGCTACCGAAAAGATGGGAATATGTGCAAGATTTCGTGCTCGGTGTGTTTAAACACAAGACGCAGACGCAGGTAAATAGAAAAACTGAATGATGTGTGTTATAGGTACGAACGAGGTAGAACGAGCTGTTGAACATCTGTGAATAAAAAAATCGCACAAAATAAAAAGGCGAAAGCATTTCGCTCAATTCAACGATTCTCAATTTACCGCGAGCGGTATTTTACAACCATGCTACGAGAACATCACGAGATGCGAATGATTCTTTGACGTCAGACAGTGTGTGTTGCGTAAAGTCGTTATTCGTAGATAATTCACTCGCTGAAAGAAATGCACCATTAATTTTGTCATGATTAAACATTAAAAATCGTAAAAGAATATATTTTTAGATTGGAGAGCGTATATAAAAGGGACATTGGGGAGAACAAGTTTCGCTGCACGTATATATGTATTGTCCAGTACGTAGGCGACGTGCGCGGTAAAGAAAAAGAGAAGAGATTCGCGCGGTTCGTAAAACTAACAAATTGGTAATACGATCGCCACGAGAGAGCATCCTTATATCATTCAACGACACCTATATATCCGCGTTCCACGCGGTAATGTGCATTTGATATCCGTGTGTCATTGCGATCTCGGCATTACGACATAATGAGAGACGATAAAAGCAAAACGGCTCCATTGACGACCGTAACGATAGAATCCATTTGATTACAAAAATTTCACTCTCGGTGTCCGACAAGTGCACTGGCGGATCCACGGAGGGGACCATGACCCCCCCCCCCCCTCTTCTTTTTGAAGAACGTTTGCGGCAAAATGTTTTTAATGTTTTCAACGATTGGCCCTATAAGGGTGTCTCAGATATAAGAATCGACTGTGAATACTACCCTATATATTTTTATATTTAGGAGCGTCTCTTAAATTAAAAAATATTTATAGATTCTATTATTCAATTCTTTTAAGTTAACACAATTTTAAATAAAACGTTCTACGAATTTAAATAATAATTTGATATTCTACCTTTTAATATCTGACCTAAAAAAGAATTTTCGCTTGCAGCGTATCAATAACGTGCAGCGTCTCCTCTCCTTGACAAATTTCTGGATCCGCCAATAGATAAACGTGAATTCTCAATTTCCACTAAATTCATAACCGCGAGGTAAACTGTGAGGTAAGAGCACACCAATGAGAAAAGCTTTACGTCACGTATCTGCGTCTCGCAAACGATAACGACGTGAATAAAAGACGCCGTTCTCGGTATACGGTGAACGGTAAAATGTGGGACTACAAGCGACTGTCGATGGGCGTTTAAGCGCGCGTTTAAAGTGGGCGGAATAGTCACGCATCCGCAGGTACCTAGCGACGCGAGCGTGGCATTTTCTGCCCAACGAGATACGCACGCGTCGGGTAATAAATAGAGAGGAGAGAGCGCGGTCAGGACACGAGCGGTAGCAGATGTCATCTCGGCGAACGGAAGGAGGGACCGCGAAGGAGTCACGCGTCGGAGAAAAGTGCAGAGAATCTTAATTTAAAAGTTAGATGACACCAACTCACCGCGTATAAATCACCCCAAGATTTTACCACCCCGTTCCTGGCGCCGCTTTACGCCCACTTTCACATCGTAGCGCCGTCGTTGACGGCGGCGCGCGGCGGCGGCGGCGACGGTTATCTCGTTTTGCGCTCCTATTTCTCGTGAAAAAATTTCGCTGAGCTACAGAAGTTCGGCCGCGCGAGGAGTATGGATAAATAAGAAAAAAAACCGCGCCAACGAAGACTCATTACCAAGATAATGAAATTCGGTGAACTCGAAATGCGCGCCGAGTATACCTGTTTACCTCCGCTTGCTTTCTCGTCGGTGAGACGTAATCGATAACGGCGAGAGCGAGACTTTTTAGATATTACGACGTTCAAGCGTGTATTACTGTCGCATCGGTTCGCGCTATCAGCGCAGGTGTCAGAAGCGGATTATTCGATCTGGGGCTGTCTTCGCACGCCGCAGGTGCGCGCGGCTGTTGAAAATCACAAACTGAGAATCTTCATTAACGTATTGATTCCGACCCTAAGAAGCGTGGCGCGAGAATGTGGATGATGGAGAAGAGATTATTTAGAGATTAGACGAGAAGTGGATTATTGCCAGCCGCCATCGATCGTGCAGCAAACATTTCTCATGGCAATTAATTTACCCTACAAATATTGAAATATCTCTCCTTTTTCCCCCCCTCCCTGTCCTCGCGAAGAGACACGTGTCTCGCTTTAAATCTGGATTCTCTACAGGTCGCCATTAAAACGGGCGATCGCCCGGATAACATATGAGCACACGTAACTTACCTCGCTTCTACAAACTAATTGTCTATATTCACTAATTGTATTGTGCATCTACGAATGGGAGCAACAACACCACCGTCGAGCTAGCCCGCCGCTTCCCTCGCGCGTCGTACGCGTTTAAAAGCGATTCTCACAATATGATTACTCCTTGTTACTCGATCTTAAACTTACAATTGCGTTGCTACACTCAATGATCATCTGTCCGTTTATCAGAATTTTCAGTGAAATATGTTCGGCTAGATACACCTCATCTCTCATCTCAAATGTGAACAGCCAGATGCTTCTTGACCAGTTTTACACGTCGATCAATTCTATAACTCTGATTCCTTGGAATCAACACCGCAAAAAAAAAACAAAAAAACAGATAATTGGTTAAATTAAAATTGAAATTAACCGTGGATGTGCGAAACTGATCATTAATTTCGCCATCGGGCGTGTAATCGATCATCCAATGCTTATTGTTTCCTTTCTTTCATCTTGTTCAAATAATATATGTATAATAGGTGTTTAATATACTCATCATTAATGAATAGAGTTTACCGCGCGTCGTTTCGACGAAAAAGTATAAGAGGGAAAAAAGCAGACACTATCAGTCTGCATTATTGCTATTATTGGCATTTTTATTGAAGGCAGGCCGTGCGTCATAACGGTATGACGCGACGCGTGTCTTTGATACGCGTAGTCTGCAGTTGTCAGTTTCTGCAGAGTAGCGACCGCTTGATTCCGGCCTACGTGTTTATCCTAAACTAGCGATCCACGCAACGATCGAGAGGAAATATCAAGTTATTTACAGACAGTCGGCCTACTGTGTCTCCTTCTATGACAGAAATAAATGTGGAGGGTGTCTCAGGGGAAGACAGGAACGAGGATCGAAGCCGTACACTCTGCAAAATCTAGCGCAGGTTGCTCTAACTATTTGCATCGCCGGATACACGGTAGGCAACGTGTATGCGTATGCACTTCGCGCCTACATGTTTGCGCATTTACATGAAACCATAACTAACTTGTGTAATCAATCGTTGCGCCTCTGCTGAGGTCTCATTTTAGTTTCGCGAGAAGGCAATTTCATTAATTTTTTGTAACAAGCAATACTATGGGCTTCGCTTCACGATCTGCTCCCTTCATTCTACCCCTCATATTATATTAAAACCGAACGCATCTTCACGTATTAATTGAATTGAAAAAGACACATATGCGCCTAATGAATTATACGTATATTTTGAATGACACGCAACATGTGCAGTATCGTTAGAGCATAAAATTGAGGGGTACAATTACGATTAACTCTTATCTCTCGCGCGATTCTTCTCTTATTGTACCGGCTATCTATTTTTTCGCGGTAGATTTAACGTGACTTGATTCCTACGTAGAAGCTAATTTCGATGTGCGCGCTGCGCCAGATTTATGACTGAGCAAGAATTCCATGGTATAAAAAAGAAAGGGGAGGAAAAAAAGGAAGATGAATACAGCGCCAAAGCCTTGTTCGGCCGACCGTCAAATTGCAATGTCTTCGGATTAAATTTATACGCAAGACCGTTTATTCTCCACCCCCTGCTTTCTCGAGAAGGTTCGATCCCGTTGTGCAGCGTGGCACGTGATACAAGAAAAAAAAAAAAACTACCGCGATACATAAAACACTGCACTGTGAACGCTAATATAATTACGGTTATCGCGAGTACAGTACTCTCGTTTGTCACGCGGACGATCAATCATGGAAAATGGTCGGCGCACGGACAAATTAGCCCGTGAACTCCCATCGGAACCACTGTAAAAAACGCGTCGCGAAGGAAGAGAGGAAAAAAAATGCGACGCGTCGGTCGATTTGAAAAGCGCAATTGTACGGCACGCAGCTCTCTCGTCGCCAGAAGTAGGGAAAATGTCAGAGTTTTCCCAGCCTCCGTTCATAAGTAACGGAGCCGCGTGGAGGGGTGGCGTACTAGTGTGTGTTCACGTGATCTTCATTGTGCTTCCGATGACATTTCGTAACCCCATTTCGCCGACTATATAGATTTTTTCTTTATTTTTTGAAAAAAAAAATATATCGTTGCTCGGAGCTCGAAGTTATGGTCGAATCAACTTCAAAAGTGAATCCTTGGAAAAATGTTAAATTTTATTGTGTACCGGTATTGTATGTGCCTTAAACAATATAGAGAATCGTCTTTCAAAATCAGAGGAGATAAAGTGATAAATCAATTCGCGTTAACGAGACGAAGGGTTAGAAGAGCACTCGTAAATTCAGCTGGTGGAAGGAGGAATAATCTGCAAGATAATCATTCTAAGAGTCGGCGAGAGTACTGAGCCTTTGAGTCGGCGGGCCTTTTTTCTGTTCAAGTCCTAGCCGGTTAGAGGTCGAAGACTATTCAGAAATGAAGAAGGGGCAGATGTTTGAATTCGCCCACGTGCTGGCCGCGTGACGTCACGGTGAGTGTGTGGGCGTAGCGAGGTAGCAAGAAGGAAAAAGAGGGACGCGAGTGGAAATAGGAAGACCATGGCGAAGGGAGAAAGGGCGGAGGGAAAGAGAGAGAGAGAGAAGCACGCAGAGCGTAAGAGAGGGTTGAAAGGGTAGGTGAGCGAGGGGCGAGAGGATCCAAGGATCAATGCAACGGCGAGACTGGGAGGGCAGAACCTGAGAATTCCCGCGGGATACACCGGCGCGACGCGGGATACACGATTGCGATGTATCGGTCGGTGAATTTAAAAAGAGAGCGCGTATCCCCTTATCTCTAAAAGTGCCCTCACCCTCTCCCTCTTAATTAAAAAAAAATAAAAAAAAAACACGGATCTAATCAAATTCATTCGATATTCCGCGAAAGGATCGCTGAGAGGACCGAAAGGAAACCGAGTACGCTGGCCATTGTAAAATCGATACGTGCGCTTCAAGTTATATAACGTGGGATTTCATACACAAAGGCACTCGCGTAGAAATTATTAAACGCGGTCGCATTATTCGTCGCGATTCCGTTTCGATCGCCATCGCGTTGTCCTGCACCAAGAAATTCGCACGAAGGTAACAGTGACGCGTGTCTCGGTTAAACCGATTGGATTCTCTCTGAATGAGATTTTACGCAAGATTTGATTCACGCTATCGATCTATGTTATCGCGGTTACAGATACGATGACTCGAGATGCTCAGGCAGTTCAGGCACGTCGAATTTCGCACGAAGGCTTCTGGCTATATGTGATCGACGCAGAAACGCGGCACATCCGACCTTCATCATATGGAAAAAGTGATGCACGGTGGAGGTAGGTAGAATACAGTTTATTTCTGTACTTTGCGAGAGAAAGAGAGAGAGAGAGCTTCACCCTACAGGTGAGCACCTGGATGAGTCGGTTCACAGTTCGCCGATCTCGCGTTTAATCAACTGTGATCGCATATTATACATCATACACACAATTCCCTCACATTCCTCCGATTTTTAGGAATGGAACATTCTCCACAAAAATGAGCGAAACAGCAAAATATTGCTGACACGTGCGTAAAATTTATCACTTCGATAATCAATTAACGGAACGGATCAGCTGATCTATATTTCTTCGTATTTCATAATTGTAAAGTATTTCATAATTGATGGTAGAATCTTTATCATATTTTAAACAAACGAAAAATTTATATATACAATTAAATCACACACAGTATTTCCTTGTATTTTTTTCAGTTTAATAACAATCATGAAATAATTTAATACAGTTTAAATAAAAACTATCGGAATGAAGAATTATATATGTAATTGGATTTTTTTGTATCCGATGTCTATTAAATTAATTTAGTAGCATTGCACACATATTTAATATAAAATCTTTCAATTTTATATTATATAAATATACGTATATATTATCTTACAATCAAACACAAGCATTGGATTGATCGACTACACTTTCTATAACCGCCTTGTGTATAGATATCGTGAATACGTATGTTCTTCGTAAATCAAATCTATTGGAAAGATTAGAGTTTCCTCCCGCATTGACTTTCAAGGATAAAGCTGGCTCTTTCGATTACCTGATGTTTCCATCGTACACTTAAAAATAAATTCGGCGATATTGACCATGTAACGACTTCTTTTTAATTTTACTAATAGCGTTCATAAAAAATAAATAAATACAACATAAATGTATCGTAAATTTTAATTATCGTGGTATCTATAAAGTTATTTTACCAATTAATAAAAATATTACAGCAAATAATACAACAAATAGAAAAAAAAGATTCGACGGAAAAATGTATTTAAAACGCGTAATATACAAATCATTGTATACTACTTAATTTAGAGAGATTAATCAAAATCTTACTTTATGATACAAAAATTAGTTTTAATTTTCGAATAGTTTATTTTTATAAATTTTTATTCTGAATTAAAATTCTTCAACGAAGAATCCAAATGAAATTTATATCGCGAGTGATATCAATCAAATGAAATATCTAGTTAATTTATAGCGAGTGATGAGAATATAATCAGAGGTAAATATTGAGATTGAAGAATTCACTTACCCTTCTCCGATTCGTCCGGCTCGTCACTGGCGCACTCCGGTGTGCTTCGTTCTTCCTCGCTGCTACTGAAACTTCTTTGTTGCGTGACGCCCACTGTTGACGTAGGTTGAGCGGAACGTCCGCCCTGCGTCTGATGCAACGAATGCTGCGAGGGGTGCACTGCAGAACGAACGGAGCCAGTCTCCATCGGTGTCTGACCGTAAGTCATTCCGAGGTCTGTACCCTGATCCTGCATTGCATTAAATAATCGATACGTTATAAAATTCAGCGAGTCGGTCCAATGATATTATTACATCAAGTTGCAACCTTCGTATATAATTATCGTTAATTGATCCATAACGAATTTCATAAAATAAAAAGGTCTATTAAAGTATTTAGTATTATTATTTTAAAAAATTATTATAAAATTCCAAAATTTTATGTCAGATAAATATGTATGAAAAATGACACATACTTTTATCTTATTAATTAATATTTATTAATGCTTTCACACAAATAAAATTAAAATTAAAATTTAACGAAGAAGATCATATTCTATTGTGAAGGTTATTTGCTATTACTTATTGTTATCACACTTCGTTAAATTTGCAAACTTTGGAAAACAAAATTATCTCGCCGAATTTAACGCGACTGCACATCTATTACCCGTGTGAAGCTGGCCAACGAATATTAAAAAATCGATTTTTTTCTTTATGCATTCGTTTGCTCATCGTTTGCTCGCAAATTCTCAGTTGGAATTTTCGTTTGCTCGATTTTTTAATTCGATACCAAAACTTAATTTTCTTGTGTCTTTTGAACTAAGAGTGAGCAAACGAAAATTCCAACTGAGCATTCGTGAGCAAACGACGAGCAAACGAATGCATGAAGAAAAACATCGATTTTTTAATATTGAGGGGCTAGTGTAAAGTTGGCCCCACAAAACATAATTTTCGTATATCTTTTGAACTAAGGGTGAGCAAACGAAAATTCCAACTGAGCATTCGTGAGCAAACGAATGCATGAAGAAAAAAATTGATTTTTTAATTTTGGGGGGCCAACTTCACACGGGTACATCTATTCTATTTTGCATAAGAATTGAAATTTATCGATTCAAAATTATCGGATTTTTCTCACTTGATAAGTCAATCGTTGTCTCGAATAGTTCTGCGGATGTTGCTTCATCAGACCGTCAAGCTCGCCTCGGTATAAATTGGGATCGTCGTCAGGATAGGCTGCAGGATGTCTCGGAGTTTGTTGCACCGGGTAAGAACCAACCACGTGGGGTGTCGGTAAAGTTCTCGCGTGAGGTGAAACAGACATTTCCACCCCACTGTCGCTCGTGGACATCCGGCGACCCGAGATCTACAACCACAGGAACGAGGCTCACTATGAGTACTCCGTGTAATACATCGCGAGGGCGCGGGCTGATAATTCTTCAGTTATGACGCCTCGACCTTTCCGTTCGTGAATAAATAAATCGCGGAGATATCAAATGTGCGAATTATTGCGAACTTATCACGGTGCGACGTTACATATTTATGAGTGTAAGAGCATCCAAGCATTTACGTGCGCCAAACTATATCTGCCTTGTAAATAAAAGAGTGCGTTCCGACAAGAATATCGGGCGACCGAGGAGAACGTTACCTGCTCTTGCTGGGAGTACTGTCTCCTGAGAGGACAGTTTCCGCTTCTCTGTAATAACGGCAAATTCTCTTTCTCAGCCGCGCTGTGCGCCCTCTCGAGTTTCGGTCTTTTATCCCGAGTTTGGTCCGCGAGTCCCTGACGACCACCCACCTGCAAGTCCTCCTGCATTTGCCGCAGCAACGCGTTATCCACGGCGCCGAGACCCGTCTTCGTCATCCATTGTCCGGTCTTCGAAAGAAGTTCCTGCTTCTTTCGGCAAAGTATGCACACCCATATTACCTGCAATCAGAAAAGTAGCGTTCTCGTCTCTTCTTGACCGCGATAAAAATACCGCGAGCATCGTCTATTTGTAACTCGACACTGCGAAGGAATATTTTGGGACTAATTGTAAGTACGATATGCTTCATCAAGGATTATCGAGGGAACGAATCTGTGCGCAAAAATGTTATCTTTCCAAAGCGCGAAAGTATCTTGAAACTTATCGATCCAAGTCACCGCGTGCGGCCAGTGACGAGGATATTAATAGGAAATTACCTATAGGAAGTCGGCCGGTTACCAAGCTAATTGGAATGTATAAAGCGGCGTGAGATTGATTATAGAAGCGAAAGACACGCAAACTAGAGTAACCTAGACAACATATGACATATCTTATTTCGCAACGAGTTATCCTCGCTTGAGCGCGTTATTTTTACACGATCCGCATAAAACAGCATTAAAAAAGGATTTTCTAGACGTTCTAGATCAAATAAATACGATGAGTATTTAGAACAATTGTATCCATTCTGCTCCGCAAGGTTTGAAATCTCGTCGGTTTTACGGAGAGAAATTCCTCTCCAAGTTTCTGTCGCGCTGGACCGGGCCATTGCCTTGGGCTATATTCTTATGCAAATCTACGCGAATCTGAGTAACGTTAAATTAAATTGAATAGATGCGAACGTTAAAATGAAAAGGGTAACAAAATAAATCCGTCTGTATACGTAGACGATTAAAAGGCAGTTGTGATTCTTCTATAACTTCTTTTATAATATATATTTATTTTTAAAAAAAATTTTCTTTGTGGTTATTAATTTGTCTTAAACATTAATTTGATAATAAAATAAAATGACATAAAAGAAATAAAAAATTATCGTTTTACAAACTTACAATTTGTTTTACGAAAATGTACTATGTGCATTCGTAATTTATAATGTTATTATAATATCATGCAGTATTTTTTTATTATGATATTATATTTTTGCATTTTAACTTCGTGTAACAGATATATATATATATATATATTTACATTAGATATATATCTAGCATTATTTGAATAATCTGTTTTTAAATATGAGACAAGTATTATAAAAGTATAATGATATACAAATCAAAATGGAAAAACATTTTGTAGTATATTCCAGTGTGATTACAACAGAAAAAAATGAATGACTCGAATTAAGGCGGCATATCTCTTACACAAGATTAATCATTTCAATAAATTACCTATAGTATACATTCTTATAGGCAATTGTTGTGTATTGGATATAATGAGGGTTCACAATTAGCGAACTACCGCTCGAGTCAAGTAGTTTGCACTGTGAATAGGAACTAGTAGAATATTTCATCAAGATAGAGGGTGATGGATGGAGCGTTTAGTAGCAAACTACAAAACAATGCCTATGCAAACTCTCATCGATAACACTTTGCTGCCCACTCCCGCGTTACATTGAGAAAATCATGATGGGGATCAATGACGCTGCCAAATAATGTAGAATTGAAGGTTTTTATTATTCTACGAGAACAGAGTCTTGCACGCGAAAAAAGAAAACTTTAATTATTACTGTAAGAATCTATATTCCAAATGACGTTAAAGTACGACGAACTTTATTTTAGTTTGATGACGAATTTGTTAATCTGAGAAGGTAAGTGCCTGTCAACCTACTTTGTACATGCGAACGCTACATGCGAAGTGATCGTGACTCAATATTGTGAATTCACTGTACATATCAAAGTTTACCTCAAAGGAACATATATCTAATTTTTGTTATATTGTAGTAGTGGTTAATCGTGTGACATATAATTTTAATGAATTCAGTTGAAACTGTTTGATTCGTTTTTACCTTCTTTATTTTATTTAATCTTAAATGAAATAATCTAGCTCTAGCATATATAGGTATATGTTTATATATTACATAATTATTTCGTTATTATATAGACATAAAAGTGTACGTGACTTTCTACAATAACCATTAATTCTTAGAGCTCTGTTAAGTAAAATTAGTCACTTAATAAAATTGCCAAACAGAATATGTCCATAAAACATATAATTTGTACGAAGTGTACTTGTTTCCCTCGCAATTACAGAAAATTATATACACACAACTGCTGCAACTGTTATTCAATCAAGAATTTATCACAATGCCATGTTCTATGCCCTCCACGAAGGAACATAAAGTCGTTTAGATACTTGGACACGTTCCTCTTGATTCGCACGTTTCGTTAAATGTTTCTTTAAGAATTATCGGAAAGCTTTCAATGTCGTTTCGCGGACTGTAAGTTTAGCGCTCTAGAAAAAAGGAGAATTCCAAGAGAAAACTATGGGAAATACGCACAGAAAGAACGATGGAAGAAAACGAATGCACTTGAGCTTATTATCTCTAGCTGCGAGACGAATTTTCCAGCGAATTTGAATGCGATCGACGTCGCACGTACGTTATACGCTTAAGCGAGTACCTTCCAACTAGGTACTCGCAACACCGACAGTATCACGATGTAGACTGACAGTACGCCTGTAAGGAAGAGTCCGCGAGGAGTTAAGAGAATAACAAAGATGCGGCGAGGAAAGGAGTGAAGGAGGAAGCACAGTAACAAAGATAGATGCGGACGGGAAGAACTTGAAGAGCACTTCATTGAGTTGCCTAGACAGCAATATGTCAAGAGTTCAACCCCTGCCCGCGCGATCTCCTTTCGTTCGCCAGCCGTCCTTCACATCCTCCGAAAATATTTCCTACGTACGTGTGACACACGTGAGGTACCTGCCAATCTTGGCAGGTAAAAAAAAATGGAGAAAAGAAAGAAAGGAGGAAGATCCTTAAGTTATCTCACTATCCGCCTGTGCAACGATTCGAGAGAGTTTCCAGTGCCGCGTAAATGATCGTTAATTCGGCGGATTGATCCGCATCGGCGATTTGCATTAATTAATTAGGGACAAATTAATTCAGATTACTTTATCACGACGCCAAGTACGTAGTCCCACCGGGCGGCGGCGGGGCCGACAATAGCAACGGCGATGACAAACCGGCGTCGTCATCAACGTCCACGTCCCGATACTTCGAGCACGAGGAACGATCGATACTACACAAGCTCGTACAAGTCAATCCGATAAGTCACTACGACGTCAACGATATATACGGCATGTAATATTCGCCCACAGCGAGTCAACGTGATTCCGTCTTGACTTCGGAAAATGTGATCGATGCGAGCGTTGAATATATAAATCCTACCATGTATACCAAATTATCTTTTATCGATAATATTATTCGAGGAAGGGAAAGAGATAAAGAGAGAAAATTATTTAATAAATTTTAATAATTTGATGCATTGGCGGATCCACTGAGCGCCCCTATTGAAGCCTCTTTTTTTAAAAATATTTATGCAAAATGTTATATATATTTTTAGTATTTCTCTGACATGCTTATCACAGTTTTGATTTCAAATATAAAAATATGTTTTATTTAAGAAACTCTTATAGATATGAAGATATACATAGATTTTATTATTATTATTTTATTTTTGTGTTAACATAATTTATTAGTTAAATAATACTTTTTCAACATAGTGCCAATAATAATTTAAATATTGTATCTTTTCATATTTGATATCAGAAATTTTTGGCAATTTCTGTATCCACCAATCATTTAATTCATGAAACAATATTTTCATTTAATTTAAGTATTCACTTTACATATGTCATAAAAAAAGCACAAATTTTCATAAAGAAAATAAAAAACGCGTATGTATTATGTTATATTATTGAAGTATAATTTAAGATGAGACAGCATATATATAGTCAGCATGCTCGTAATATCGGAACACTGCACTGTTCTTTCAGATCTTCCTCTTTGATCACTCGGAATGGACCCGAAACTAAATCAACTGAACCCGCAGTTTTATCTGAAGGAGTTTCCGCTTTCTTGAATAAAGCATTGTTTTTCAAAGAAAATAGTTCTATGAGACCATCATGGAACAAAAGAACCGACTTCTTTATTGTCAGCAACCACCTGATGGATGAGGAAAACGTAGGAAAAGATAACAGAAAGCACAATGCGACGCTAAGAGTTCAGTCGTCGTGCAACGATCGTCTACGTGTAGAACAACATCTGTACTTAGATCGCCCTTCAGACCTAAGTAGAACTCGCTTCGTATGCACCCTCTAGGCATCATACTGGGGCACTTCGAAAGACTAACCTATGAAATCATGCTCGAGCATATAATATGGACGAAGTACGTGGGGAACGTGCACAAGTCCGGCTTTCCTAAATGACGGCCAACCCTTTGAGGCAAGCTGACGCAATTACGAAGCGCTCTCGTTTTAGGAATCAGTTTGCACACACAAGGTCGGTGAAGTTTCAAATGATACTATCACTGATTCCAGGCAGATAATTATGTACGTCATGGGATGTTATTGTGTACACCACTATCAATCGTCAATGAATCACGTCGGTATAATTAATATGATTCAAAATTAATGACAGACTGATATATATGATCAATAAGTACACTGAAAAAAATGTTCTGGTTGTACCAATAAGAAGTATAATACAAACAAACGAAATTCTGATCATGTAAATCTAAACTCTTTGATTATCTTAATTGAATTTTTGGTTGTCTCACTTTTAAAATGTTTCATAAATTTAAATATAAATATTTAATTTACACCTTTTTGATTGATTCTACTAAATTTCAATTAATGCAACAAATTTTTTTAAAAAAAATTTCAATTTAATGTAACATTTTCTTCATACGAATTAAAATTCTGGTCGCGTTATTCAATTTCTGATTATCTCAATTTCAATATGAAAGATTTAGCTATATAATCTGATTTGTATACTTTTCTGAATGCAACAAGATTTTTTTCATGTAAATTAAAATTTTGGTTATCGTTCAATTTCTGATTATTACACAATTTAAATGTAATAGATTTAACTATAAACTATAAGTGTCTAATTTGTATTCCAATTAATGCAACAAGACTGTTTCTTCCATAGGAATGAAAATCTGCCAATCGTAATGAATGTTTGATA